GTCTGATCAATCCATCAATCAACTCATGCACCATTTCCTTATAATTTGGGTTGTGCTTTTACAAAGTGTTGCTGACAATAGTCTCTGTTAAATGAAAGTGTTCTAAATGCATTTTTGCTTTCATTGGTTTTCTTTCTCTCGTTTTCCAAGCCCTGCCAGTTTCTTTTTCACTGGAAAATTAGCAGTTCTCTACCTTTCAATTTTGGGGATTCATGTTTACCAAACAAAAGCAAAAAGATTTTGGAGATTGATTGACATGTGAGATGATATTAGGATACATTCTAAAGCCCTCTATAACTACTTCACATTTTGTACTCGAGCCAAGGAGAGATTTAATTGTTTTGCACGGTCGTTTTCATGTCCGTGTGCAACCTTTTTTTTTGGGTTAAATTGCACAACTGGTTTCATACTGTGACATCAATTATGGTATTTGGTTTAGGGTAAATAGCAGTTTGCACCCCAAAGATTTCAAATTGCACCCTCAAAGGTCAATTGTTCCGAATTCGACCTTCAATTAAATTAGTTAGTAGCAATATGACCCCAACTATAACATTTGTTGCCATTTGCATCAAATTGTCAGCCACATTAGATGTATGTGATGACTTTTGTCTGATTATGACACTTTCCCTTTTCATGTGCGACTAATGTGTTTATCAATCCAATAAAAATTGTCATGGATGTTATGGTTGAGATTGTGATTTTCGTCAAATTGACAGTCACGTGAAATACATGTAATAACATAATAATGTGACTTCAGCAGAACCATTAGATCAACACCAAGTTTCAATGTTTGATGGGCTCCACAATCAATCCAAAGGTCATAGTGAATTAGGTCAGCAAATTAGGTCAGTAATTTAGGAACCAATAGTATTGCTCAAAAAAAAAAAAAATTGCCATGAAATTGGTGTAGTATTTTTTCCCAGAAAGCATTACTGTTTTTCATGAAAAAGTCATAAACTATTGTTCATCCATAACTATTTTTTCTAATTTAAATCATTCTGTGAACTTGAAATCTATTTGTTTGTATTTGTGCTTTTTTTTTTCTTGGTGTTAAAAGTTCTCTAGATGATTCCTCATCTTGATCTTAATCACTGTAAATTAATTTCATGTTCTTTAGACAACTCTTTTTTCTTTCCTTTACTTTATTTTCTATTATTTTTACTTTATATAATTGATNATAATGAGTTTTAATTTTTGATCTATACTAAATTATTAAACTTTAAAATTTGGGGCCCTAAGCCCATGCTTTTTCCACTCCATTGTTGAGCCGGCCATGCTTCTTGTGTATGTGTGTGTGTTTGTCTAATCTTCTTGTGATCTATACATTATCAAATTATGAGCAATGACGCCGTATTAATTTCTTGCTGTTTCATTTGGTGAATGTATTGGGGAAATGAGTTGAATCGTCTTTTCTAAAATTGCTGGCCATGTCGCTAAGGATTTGTTTTTAGATTGTAAATTCAACTCCCTAATGAACAGAGTCTTACCCCCAATCAGTTAATTCTCTTCATCTTTTTGTGAACANTGTTTACTTTTAAAAATTAAATTTTTTATATTGTACCCTTAATATATCAAAAGTATTGCAATGTGACCCTTCTGTTAGAGTCTGTTATTTGTTTCATAAAAAAACTATCCTATTGACATTGACGTAAAAACTAATTGAAAGTTTACAGAAATATCACATTGCAACACTTTTGATACATTAAGTGTGAAATATAAGAAATTTAATCTTTGAGAGTGTAAAGTAAAAATTTTAAAATCTTTCAACATACAATGTGCAATTTTCCTCATAATATAATCGGCAATATATTCTTGAGGATACTAACAGTAATGACGCTAGGGTTAAGGACTAGATGGGAATAACATGGGTACAGGAGGGGAGGATTTGTGGAAGGTTACTACGTTGGATGTCTTTCAATTCGATATTGTTCCAAATTTTATGTGAACGAGTTTCACGCAATTTGGCCGAATCGTTCAAGATGTNGCGTCTGCAAGCACTGGTACACTCGTACAAAAAAGCCTAGTTTATTCGCAAGCACTTCAACCAGGATAACAATCAAGCCTGTCGCCTTGTTCATCATTACGATTTTGACACTGAAACATATGTTGTTGCCTTGTTCCCTGACAAAACACTCAAGGGCATGCCGTCTATACATGAAGAAATTGACTATCTACATATTCCCCCGGCTATGGAAACTGGGATTGGTTCCATAGACGGCTTATTTTTCCTTCACAATGGCCTTGACGATAACATGGTTCTGTGGAACCCTACTACTAGAGAGTTTAGGCTCCTTCCTGCACCCCACTCCATTTTACCACCATATTTCTCTACCATTTGGCATACACTTGGATTTGGGTTGGACACCTTGGCGAACATTTACAAGTTTATTTGGATTCGTTCCTTTTGGATGAGCAAATGGATAACTCTTACCCTTGTTGCTATATATACTCTAGGTAGTGATTCATGGAGATATCTCGATCCTCTTGAACTCCCTAACCGCACCATGCACAGTTCTCTGTGTGCCACATATGTGAATGGAGGTTATTAGTGGCTGTCATCTGAAAACGGTGAGAATCGTAGTGTCCTTTCATTAAATATGACCTCTGAGGTATATAGAGAGATACAGGTGCCTGATCACCGTAAAAAAACTTGGGTGAATCTTTCTTTGTAAAATGATGGTATTGCCCTGTTTCTTTGTCAGACGGATATGGTTCTGCAGTTTATTATTGACAAATGGTGATGAAGGAGGAAGGGTGTTGGACCAAACTCTTAATTGTTAAACCTTTTCCAGAAGTCTTCCGGCTGCTTGGGTTTTGGAAGAATGAGGATCTTTTGCTTGAAAGTGGCTGTTCAGAGCTGGTTTTGTACAACCACGACACTAAGGAAAGGAAACTACGGGTCTTGGAATCTATGGAGATTTCACAAATTGTGGACTTTCGGTTTTTAGTTACAAGGAGAGCTTAGTTTCAGTCGAGGGACAAAATGAGGACTAGAAGGAATATATTTCGTAATGCCTCGTGACTTCTCCATTTCAACCCCAGCAGCTGTAGAAGAGCTCAAGTGTTGCCAGTTTATATCTAATTGTTTAAATTGCATGCCTGTATTTTTGAGCTGCAACAATGGTTAAAAAGGAAAAAAGAATTGCATAACTAAATGTGTAGCTGGAGGTTACCATATTACCTTTTTGTATGATCCCTTGTTTGTGCACTTTGTTCTGTGTTTACATTGCCTCTCTGGTTTATCATCTCTGTAAGCATGGAAGCCTTTGGCTTCTTGTCTAATTCCAAGTTTTATGAGTTACATGGTATGTGCAACGAATGATCTTTTGAAGTGCTGCCAATAGGATATACCATTACTTGTCTTTCGAATAGCATCTATAGCTTGCATCCTTTGTGCCTTGTTGTACAGGGGTTGAAGATTTGTTGTTGGCGTTTCTGTTATCATTTACACATTCTGTATGACTTGTTTTAGATCACAGGTGTTGACTTGGTCAGGCGATCCGTGTGTCAACCAGTTCATCAAATAGTTCTTGTATGATTCACCTAGATTGTCTGATCAATCCATCAATCAACTCATGCACCATTTCCTTATAATTTGGGTTGTGCTTTTACAAAGTGTTGCTGACAATAGTCTCTGTTAAATGAAAGTGTTCTAAATGCATTTTTGCTTTCATTGGTTTTCTTTCTCTCGTTTTCCAAGCCCTGCCAGTTTCTTTTTCACTGGAAAATTAGCAGTTCTCTACCTTTCAATTTTGGGGATTCATGTTTACCAAACAAAAACAAAAAGATTTTGGAGATTGATTGATATGTGAGATGATATTAGGGTACATTCTAAAGCCCTCTATAACTAATTCACATTTTGTACTCGAGCCAAGGAGAGATCTAATTGTTTTGCACGGTCGTTTTTATGTCTTTGTGCAACCTTTTTTTGGGGTTAAATTGCACAACTGGTTTCATACTGTGACATCAATTATGGTATTTGGTTTAGGGTAAATAACAGTTTGCACCCCAAAGATTTCAAATTGCACCTTCAAAGGTCAATTGTTCCGAATTCAACCTTCAATTAAATTAGTTAGTAGCAATATGACCCCAACCATAACATTTGTTGCCATTTGCATCAAATTGTCAGCCACGTTAGATGTATGTGATGACTTTTGTTTGATTATGACACTTTCCCTTTTCACGTGCGATGCGACTAATGTGCTTATCAATCCAATAAAAATTGTCATGGATGTTATGGTTGGGATTGTGATTTTCGTCAAATTGACAGTCACGTGAAATGCATGTAATGACTACTGTAAGATTATGATCCTTCCCTTTTTCACGTACGTCCACGTGACTGTCAATTTGATTAAAATTGAAACAAATGTTATGATTGGGATCACATTGCTACCGATTAATTTAATTGAGTGTGCAATTTAAAATAATTAATTTTTTTTAATCTTTTAGGATACAAACTGCTATTTGCCCTTTGATTTATTATGTGATATTTGATTAAGTTATAAAAAAAAGAGTAATATTATTTGAACCTAAAAATCTGACTTAATTTGCTGACATAATAATGTGACTTCAGCACAACCATTAGATCAACACCAAGTTCCAATGTTTGATGAGCTCCACAATCAATCCAAAGGTCATAGTGAATTAGGTCAGCCAATTAGGTCAGCCAATTAAGAACCAATAATATTGCTAAAAAAAAAAAATTGCCATGAAATTGGTGTAGTATTTTTTTTTCCCAGAAAGCATTACTGTTTTACATGAAAAAGTCATAACTATTGTTCATCCATAGCTATTTTTTCTAATTTAAATCATTCTGTCAACTTGAAATCTATTTGATTGTATTTGTGCTTTTTTTTTTCTTGGTGTTAAAAGTTCTCTGGATGATTCCTCATCTTGATCTTAATCACTGTAAATTAATTTCATGTTCTTTAGACAACTCTTTTTTCTTTCCTTTACTTTATTTTCTATTATTTTTACTTTATATAATTGATTTCTTTCTAATCAAAGATTCTCAACTGTTTACTTTTAAAAATTAAATTTTTTATATTGTACCCTTAATATATCAAAAGTGTTGCAACGTGACCCTTCTGTTAGAGTCTGTTATTTGTTTCATAAAAAAACTATCCTATTGACATTGACGTAAAAACTAATTGAAAGTTTACAGAAATATCACATTGCAACACTTTTGATACATTAAGTGTGAAATATAAGAAATTTAATCTTTGAGAGTGTAAAGTAAAAATTTTAAAATCTTTCAACATACAATGTGCAATTTTCCTCATAATATAATCGGCAATATATTCTTGAGGATACTAACAGTAATGACGCTAAGGTTAAGGACTAGATGGGAATAACATGGGTACAGGAGGGGAGGATTTGTGGAAGGTTACTACGTTGGATGTCTTTCAATTCGATATTGTTCCAAATTTTATGTGAACGAGTTTCACGCAATTTGGCCGAATCGTTCAAGATGTCTCCGATCCCAAGTTATTCGACTCAATGTTGACATGTTCGAGTGATTGTTCTATGAAACATTTTGTGCGTATTGCCTTAAACTGTTCTAGTTTTGTAAGCATTTTGTGCCCTCTCCGTTAATCACTAATGTGACGTAAACTTAAAATGAAAATGAATAATGCAATTTGAACATAATTTATTGACCTAATTTCCTGTAATAATTATTCATAACTATTGGATTGATTGTGAGTTCCAGTATTTGTTATGACCCATAATCAATCTTGATGGTGCAGACTGAGGGCGAACAGAGTACGTGGGACCAACGGGGAAGTTAGGCTACCAACTTCGTAATACCAGTGATGAAGTGTTTCTTAGAAGATAGGAGAATTTGCACAGTAGGAATATAGTGGTTCACCGACTCTGGAGCTCGACTAATTCACTCTCAAATAGAGGCTCATGCTCCTATTATTCTCTATTGATTATTTGAATATAATACAAGACATGCATAATCCAACTAGGGTTCTTTTTTTGGCTTTCTCTCTCGATGAGGCGCTACATAGTATTTATAAGGTTGCCCCCTATTCTGTGGGATTTTAGCCGAGATCTTTGCCATTATTCATAGGATCCTCCTTGATTTTAGGAGAGAATCTTGGTTGGTTGAGAGTTTCAAGCATGGAGCCCAATTTTCGCAGTTATGCAGCTGTTTCCTGGTCGGTTCTGCTACGATCTCGGGGAGCTCCACCCCTGGTTTTCTGAGTTCCTCGTGTCTTTCCTAACCTCGTGACCTGAGCTCACAACTAGGGCTTGTTTGAGGTATCATCAGTTGCCCTCCAGCCCCTGGTTCAAGCGGGCTTGGGTAGGGGTTGAGCTGTTTTTAAACCGAGCAGGATCTGCATGTGGCTTACCTTGGCTTGCACATGAGTTAGGCCTTTTTGACGGTTTTCAACAATCATAGCTTTCTCGTTTCCCACTCACGTTCCAGTCCACATCTCTCAGGCTTTAAATGCTCAAACGGCTATCTGAACCGCCCTATTCCACTGTTCAACTTCTCTGCTGCTTCTCTCTTCTTGCGATTTTCTGGCTTTTTGGTTTGGAGTTCTCTGATTCTTCGTTCAAGATCGAGTTTTGTGGGTTCGATTTGAAGATTCGCATTGCCCTCTTTCTTCCATTTTTCTCTAGGCTGCTATTCGTTGCTCTTTCCCACCTAGGTACGCTCTTTTGTCCCCTTTTCACCTTTTCTTGTTTTGGATCCCTCGAATTCGAGGTGGCCATTGCATTTCTTGGCCTTTTGGTTCTTTGACTTTTGGAATCGAAATTACTGCTTGTCTCCTCTCCCCCACTTCATGGACTGGTCTTCTATCGTGCGAATCCTTGTTGTTGGAAGCTACTGCGCTGACCCTAGGGTTATCAGGGAGTGCTTAATTAGTATTCCTACTCTCTACCATTCTTTTAGTTTACCTTCCTCCTGTCCAGTTATGTCTACTCCTTCCAGAGTTACGCGCTCCTTTGCTTCTCCCTTGGGGGAAAGGTCTGCCGAAGAGGACACTGATTCAGGGGATGTAGGCGAGAAAATCGACAATTTTCTTGTATGGATTCTGTCGATGCCGAGNGCCGAAGAGGAAACTGATTTAGGGGATGTAGGCGAGGAAATCCACAATTTCTCCAGTGTGGATATTGTCGATGTCGAGAAAAATAAAGAGGAACCATCCCCATCGTCTTCTTCTGTGCCCCATAATCCTAACAAAGGTAAGGGCAAGGTGAGTGAGATAGGAGTCTCTGACAGCGCAGCAAGCACAGGAGCTGCCTTTAGGCATGCTGAGCTCATAGGACCTAGTGAGGTTGACTCTTCTCATATGAAAATTCTTAGTGCTCGTTATGGTTTTCCTCCTGGTGTCCAACCCTGATGTCCAGATAAATACACCCCATATGTTACCCAAATTCATAAGAGAGTATGTTTCTTTATGGCCGCTTTTGAGAATGACCTTCGCTTCCCTATGCATCCCTTCATCAAGAGTGTTCTACAACACTTCAATGTCTGTCTTGCTTAGCTCTCCCCTAATTTCTGGGGTGTACTTGTGGGTCTTCTTGTTTTATTCAAGATTCATGGACTCGGGGTCCCTAGCCTTTCCTTGCTTGTGGATCTTTTTAATGTCAAACTCACCTCATCAAAGTGTTTCTTATATATCTCCAAGCAAACCACGGCTAGGCAGATAATTACTCACCTCTTGAGCTCCCATAAGGGTTGGAAGAAACAATTCTTTTTCGTTGGGGGCACCAACTGGGAGTACAACCCTACTAACAGGACTGATACTCTAGGTATCCCTAGAACTTGGTCTGCCCTTGATAACTTAGGTGAGCCCTTGCTTGAACTGATTGAGCTCTGGTTTGGGAATTATTGAGTCGCCTTTTTTGACCTTTGTTCTCCTTGTGTTGTTTTTCAGGCATTCGACTAGAGCTCAGTGCTGAGGACGAGAGGGTAAAGCGAAAGTTGGAGAAGTGTAATTCAGAGAA